AAAAAAAAAAAAAAAAAACCTGTTCAGGCAGATACCATTTCTCCTCAATAAGGAACTTATTTGCTGTCTTTTGGTTGGCAGACGCTACTTCTCCTGTTATCTTGACATTTTTTAAGCCATACCTCTTTCTAAAATTAACAGATCACCCTTTGCTGGCATTAAATTCTCCAACTTTAGATCCTTTACCTTCAAGTTGTCAATGAATGACTTCTTCACTTTTTCTCTAATCATTAGAGTCTATAGGTATCCCTCCCTTACTTATACCAATCCTGCACCCACATAAAGGTTGCATTTTTAATTCAAGATAAAAAGATATTTCATAAAAAGTGCAAGGTTTCTGTGCCAGCTGGTGTAGCTATAGTGACAGCTTCACAAATTTCCTTTTTTTTTTACAATGGTCCTTACACTGGATTCATTTATCTTTAAATGGTGGGCAACCACAGCTACAGACCTTAATCTGCAATATATATTAAGCAATACAACTTTTTCTTGTAATGTCATGACTTTTCTGTTTCTTAGGAGCACTTCCAGCATCACTAATGGCATTTCATTGGTTCCCGTGGTGTTATTCAAGGTTTATGGTATTGCAACAAACATGATGAAAAGTACATGAGAACCATGAGAGATTACTTTATTCCATATGCAATTTACTGGAGAGATGAACTGCTCATGTGGAGATGATTAGCATTATATGGCATTTTAAACTGATACAACACTTGAGCTCACTGCAATAGCAATAGGAGGTGGCTACAAAATTATAGTAGTAGTACAGTAGTACCATAGTTAATTTTGTGCAGTTTTGATTTAATGTTGCTGAGAATATATGCCATATATGGTCTGTAAGTTTTGATAAATTTTAACTTTTTATAGATTTGTGTATATTTTGTGATAGTAAATGATAAAATAGACTAGTATCAACATATATTTTATGCGTTCATGCCATATCTAACTTTTTTTTAATATATATATATTTTTTAGGCTATGCAGTTTATGAGTGTTTTCGAACTGTTGCAAATCTCCAAAAAATGTTTCAATATATATATTGAAAAAAATCCATATAAGCGGATCCATGCAGTTCAAACCTACATTGTTCAAAGGTCAACAGTACTTATTTTAAAGTAGTTGAGATATACACAGTGGAGGTGATTTGGTCTGCTTTTTAATCTGCTGTTCCTTAAACCTGCCCAATAGGAGTGGAATATTTCTTACATCTGAACTGGAAGACTTTGAACTCTTCCTCCTAAGACTGAGCCGAATTGGGGGTGTGATACAAGATACCCTCCCTGTTCAAAACTACAGGACCAAAGAAGGCTGGGATTTCCATTCTCACTTCATTCTCTATTGTTTGGAACACAGTCTGCAGCATCTTCTTTATGTCTACCTTGACTTTTACAAGTAAGTACTGAGAATTGATTTATCCTTAAGGAAGTTTTCATGTTTCTCTTCCTATACTACTTCTGAATATGACTTTTAGGAAAACAGTAAGCATACATATGAGGAATACTGATCTTTTTGATAGAGTCTCCTTCATCCCCACACTTAGTACATCTTTTAGTTCAAATTATAATCAACTAAGTGCTTATCATGTGGTTTTCAATTATGTTAGCTCTGTAATATTTTTGCTATTTCAGTTATATTAGCTCTGTAATATTTTTGCTAACCTTTAAATAACTAGAGAATAAAGTGAAAGAAATGCCTTGAAAATTTGAAAGAGAGAAAAATTCTAAAAGTTCAGTTGGAATCCTTTGATAACTTTCATGATCAGGAGAATGTTTAACTACTTTGATTTCATAGCCACCACAGTTGTTTTGGGAGCTCTGGTAGCATAGTGCCTAAGGCACTTGACTGCTAACCAGAAGGCTGGTGGTTCAAACCCACCAGCCACTCCTCGGAAGGAAGGTTGGGCAATCCTACTACCGTAGTGATACTGCCTCAGAAACCCAAGGAGGGGTCGCTATGAGTCGGGGCCAACTCGATGGCAAATAACAACAACAACAACAGTTGTTTTGGATATAGAATGAAATTTGTATATATAAACATCAGTATATCTCTACTCAACCTACAGAGTCCTATCTGCAGCCAGTGTTAACTGCTATTGGGTCAGTAATAATAACAATAATAATAATGGTAGTCTCTAATATATGAGTGCTTACAATGTTCCTGGCACTGGGCTAAGTGCTTTACATGCATATAATCTTTACAAAAATCCTATGGAGTGGTTATTCCCATTTTCATTTCACAGATGAGCACACTAAGCTTGAAGAGATATTAAGTTCAGTTTTTTCTTGTTACTCCTGGTAGTTAAGTTCTATAAAGTTGCCATGACTACTGAATTAGCGAATATTGAACCATTGCTCCTAGGAGAAATACATGGTTAAATTCCTGCAGTCCTCTGGTCACAACATTTTTTTTTTATTGTGATTTGGGTGAAGATTTACAGAGCAAATTCACTTTCCATACAGCAGTTTACATATACTTTGTCTAATGACATGGACCACAGTTTACCACAATGCAACAGCTCCCCTTGCACTTCCTCTCCATAGTTACCTCTTCCCTGTGTCCATCCCTCCATGAACTCCTGCCCCCTGAGCTGTCTCCCTGTGCATAAGCAGCCCTTACTTCTCCCATGATTGTTCTCTCCAAGGAGAGTATCTACTTGAGGTAGATATTCAACTCCTATGCCTGTCTTTTGTTTGGCTGGAAACCACAGGGCAGCTAGGGGCCATAGTCTCAGTGGTTCCACCAGGCTCTGTCAGACCAGCAAACCTGGTCCCCCCCCCACCTTTTTTTCCCCTCCAAATGATTTTAAGTTTTGTTCCACATTGTTCTCCCTCTCCATCAAGGATCTCCTACATAGATCCCCTTCTAAGTGGATGACATTGGTAGCCGGGCACCATCTAGTACTTCTGGTCTCATAGTCGTATAGGCTGCAGATCATATGGTGTACCAGTCGCTAGGACTAATTGTTTCCATGAATTTTGGTTTTCTTCATTCTTCTTTGCTCTGGATGAGGAGAGACCCATTGTTGCGTCTAGATGGCAGCTTGCTAGCTTTTAAAATCCCAGTTGCTACTTGCCAAAGTAGGAGGTGGAACAATCTTTTGTATAGTATGTGGTCACAACATTTTTATCTGCTAATCAGTACAAAGCTATGTTTTATGTATGTTTTGATTTAAAGGCATTTTATTTAATATATATTGTTGATTAATTAACTTGAACTCACAGCCAACAACAATCTAATTCACACCTGAATAAAGCTTATCTAACTCATATATTTTCTCCATAAGGCTCATCACAGTCTTCTTGCAGTTAGGAACACCAGGCAGCAATTCAGCACTGTGCTTGGGGGCTATTTTAAACAGTGAAATTATCAACAAAAAGCACAACAATGCAAATAATCTTGCATAAGATAGACTACAAAGAGAACACTCGTTTACAGTATGAGAGCTGAAACACGAAGGCAAAGCTTCACCTTGTTCAACCTCAACTAGGAATGTGTGTCATGTTGGGTGACTCAAATTATTCACCATTCCACATATATCCAATAATGACCATGACAGCATCATAAGTCTTAACTGTGGGATTGGAAATAAATGTTATTGAGTAGACAAATTCACAAACAAAGAATCTTCAAATAATGAGGATTCACTATACCTACCTTAGGAGCTCTGGTAGTATAGTGCCTAAGACACTTGACTGCTAACCAGAAGGTTGGCAGTTCAAACCCACCAGCCACTCCTCGGAAGGAAGATTGGGCAATCTACTTCTGTAGTGATACTGCCTCGGAAACCTAAGGAGGGGTCGCTATGAGTCGGGTCCAACTTGATGGCACATAACAACAGCAACAACATACCTACCTTGCTTAAGGCACATAGCTGGTGTCAAGCCAGATTTCATTCTACTTTTAATTCTAGAGCCTACATTCATCCTCTGATAGAGAACATTTTAATTTATTTTGTATATAAAGACTAGAAGAGGCTGTATTTCTGGTTCATATTTTTAAGACTTACTTGGTCAAAGAATACTTTTCCCCAAAGCTACTAGTAAAAGAACAAATTTAAAAGCTTTATTTTCAAAGGATCTATTTGAACCTTAAGCCCTTGATCTTAGCCTCTCTAAAGTTGGGTAAAAGTTTTTTTAAAACCTCTGATTATGTTTGAAAATGCTATATAAAGTTCTGGCTGTAAAAACTAGAAAAATATAAAGTACCTTCAAGTACAAGACATTCATTAATCTCATTTAGAGTTAGTGAGATTTCATCATGTTTTCAGAAAAATAGGCAACTTGGTGGTAAATACATCTTAAGTAATATTGTCTCTGCCTCTAAAATTTTCTAAATTTTCTAAAATAATGTCAAGATCATAAGGAATATGTAAAATATAACACAAGGGCGGGAATATTTTGTATTATATGTATTTTTTAATTCCAGGACTCCATTTTTTATGCTAGTTATCAGCTGAGCAAATACAGTTGTAACTGTCTGTCTTATTCTGTATGTTAATCAGATAATTTATTTTTTGTTTTATATACAGACTTAGTCCTCCAAATTGTCCCTTTTTGGAAAAAAAAGAACTACATGAAGCTTACCCATGGTTTGAATTTTTAGTTCAATGTCGACAAGTTTCCAGTAATTTAACGGGTATGGGTGTCCTATATTATACATAAAAACTTTCTTTAGATAAGTAACTGGTCTGTTGAATGATATTTATCTTGTGAATTCTTTAAATAAATCATTAGGCTTTAGTCAAATATCTGGTTATAATCTAGGCTAACATTATTTAAGCAAATTAGTTTTGTGCAGAAGGCTGAAGATGTTAGCCCCTTCCCAGACAGGAAAAGCCAAATGTGGAGTAGAGAGCTTGTGTGGTTATGTTGCCTTTCCCCATCTCAGCCTCCTGCTCTGCTCTCTTTGGATTTCTCCTACGCCACCAGTTTATCACAGTTGAATTCTTGCTCTCTGGTAGATTGACACCTGATGAAGAATTAGGTTGTCTCCCAGGTGCCTGCTCTGAATCTTTTTAAGGAGCTCCAGATGGAGTGAAAAAGAGATCCATAGAGAGTGTGGGATGACTATTTGGCATAAGTGATGTATGGCATAAACTATTTTAATTTGCATTTCTTAATGGTGTTGTGTGCCATCAAACTGATTGCAACCCATAACGATCCTATAGGACAGAGCAGAGCTGCCCCTCAGTGTTTCCTAAGTTGTAATCTTTATGGGAGCATATCACAAGGTCTTTTCTCCCATAGAGAAGCTGGTGGATTTGCACCTTTCAGTTAGCACCTGAGCACTTACTTAACCATTGCACTACCAGGGCTCCTTTTCATATTGCTAGTGAATTACATGTTTTTATGTATCAAACATCTGTTTCCTCTTTTGTAAATTGCTTACTTATTTCTTTTGTCCATTTATCAGTTGGAGTCTGTTTTTGATAGTGATTTGTAGGAGTTTTTTGTTGAGGACATTAATCTTTAGGTTGTGTTTGTTGTAATTATTTTCCCTAATTCATTGTTACCTTTCAATTTTCTTTGTTTAAATAAAAGTGTTTATTTTTATATAGAGAAATTGTTCTTTCCCTTTTATGTTTTCCCATTGTTTTTAGCCTTAGAAAGGGCTTAATTTGGATGGAGTTAAAAATTAATTTTCTTTTGTAATTGTATGATTCTTTATACTTATCCCTCTTAAGGAGAAAAACATGCTCTTTTGTTTTCCAGATCCCAAACTGATCTTCCAGGCTAGCCTTGCAAATGCTCAGATACTGATTCCCAGCAATCAGGCCAGTGTAAGCAGTATGCTGTTAGAAGGACATACCATCCTGGCCCTTGCTACTACAATGTATGCTCCTGGGGGTGTCAGCCAGGTATGGACACCATGTTTACCTATTATGGTTAAATAGTACTGGCTTCAAATTTAGCAGAAATATCTATGGACTGTCTAGATCTCAGTTGGTATTGAAATATAACAATTTTCAAGTATTTCATTAAAGAATATCAAAAATGAGTAAATGTTAACATTTTATTTCATATCCTCTAAGTTGTGAGGTCCTCTAAGTTATGCAGGAACTAATATATTATACCAAGTCTTTTTTCCCTTTCATTTGCTTTCTGATAATCTAGGTTTGTTTTCAGGGTAGAATCAGGATCTGATTGCTTCTGAGAGTAAATAGACTTTAATCTGTGGTTTGTGAATTACTCTACTACTTACCCTCTTAGTTAAAAAGGATATTGTTCCTTTAGCTGCCCATTTACACTCTTTTGAGGAACCCAGAGGAAATATTTCCTCCTTTGTTTTTTGAAAGTGTAATTTGCGTGGTTAGAGGAAGCTTAAGAATGCTGTTCATTTTATCTTCAGAAGTTTCTACTGATTGCTGGCTAAATTTTATACCACTTCTTTTAGATAGTTGCAAAAAAAAAAGAAAAGAAACCTTAAATTATATGGTTGAGTTATTTATTTCTGTTTTCAATCACCTGTCAAAAATTAAAGTCAGAATAACTTGGAAAGACCAAAGAGTCATTTCATGTAATAGTTTTTAAACATTATAGTAGCAGAACCTTTTCAGATAATTTCTCCACATACAGTATGAAAACCATTGATGAAGCTCAATTTTCTAATTTTGTAGGTGAGGAAGCTAAAGCCTGATATTAATTATCTAGGACAAGGTCGTACAGCTAGTTTGTTTTATTACCCAGACTGGTGCTCTTGGCTTCTGACTTCTTCTCCAATGCTATTTTCACTTCCACATCCTGTCTCCACGTTAATCTTATTTCGAGGGGTTCCTGTGAAGAAAGGACTCAGTTTTGAGATGGGAAAAACATTACCTCGAACTCTGTTGTCCTTTTACTTAGGTTATTCAGAATGAAGAAAATGAGAACTGTTTGAAGAAAGTGGATCCCCAGCTACTGAAGATGGCACTAACTCCTTACCCCAAGCTAAAAACCGCTCTCTTCCCACAGTACACTGCTCCTAATATCCTGCCACATGATATTACACTCTACCATCTTATTCAGGTACAGAACTTAGATGGCCTGTGTATCAGTCAAGGTTTAGGCAGAAAAACAGAAACCACTTTAGATCTTTCAAATGGAGAGAATTTAATTGCTTCTAGAGAGTGATAGAAGAATGGAGAAACCAAACATACAGTGATGAGACAACCCAAAGATTAGCAAAGAGAAAGCAATCACCTGCCCTAAGGCTGGAAAGAACAGTATACAAGAAAGTGGTGTTATCAGAACCCAGACTCAGAGCCGTCTTCTGGGAGCTAAACTGTCAACAAAGCTGCCTAATGGGAGCTGGAGATATACAGGGTGGAACTAGGACCTTGGAGGAGATGCCCCAGAAAACAGAGAGGAGAAAAATTACCTTGGCTACCCCTCTACTCCCACTTTTAATCTCCCACCCATGTCTCTTGTGATAACCAGTGGGTACGGGAGTTTGGGAAATGCAGTCCCCTACAGTATGAAGCAGAGCAGAGGAAGGTAGGAAATGGATCTGGGAGCAGACAGATAGTTGACCAGCACATCTGTCTGCTGCTTGCAGCGGCTGCTCCACTCTAGTACTTGGAACTTCTGTTTCTTCTCAACGAATGAAAGATGTGTGTTGAAATCAATGCTGCTTCATCTTTTCCAAGGCAAAAACTCCTTTAAGGATGTAACAGAAATTAATAGCCTCTTAGTCTTGCCTTTTGATCCGAAATTGTTTCTAAAGCCAATTGTATAATTGACACTTTTTCCTACCAAAAAAGAGTACACTTTGCAGACATTGATTGAAGGAAGGAGAGCTTTTAAAAGGAACAAAGCCAAATGAATACAGAAGGGCGTCTCATACGATCTTTTTCGTTTTTAGCTGTGTTCAAAGAATTTATGGTCAGAAAGATAAGGGAAACAGATTATTGTTGAAATCTTTTCATAAAATTCTATTTACTTATTTTAGAATCAATTAACTTTTAACACTGTTTTTACTTTCCCCCTTCGTCAGTCGTTATTGCCCTTTGATCCTAGCAGATTGTTTGGCTGGCAGTCTGCCAACACACTAGCTATAGGAGGTAAGTTATTAGAACTTGTTTTGGAAACATTTCAGCAGTGTTGACAGTAGAAGTTAATTTATATAAAGCCAGTCCAGTTGTTTTACTGCTTTCCATTTTAAAAATAAAAGTGCATTCTAATAGAAAACGTTTTCCAGACTGTAGAATTGAAAACATATTGTGATTTAATCATTATAGTAAATGCTGTCCCCCCTTCCCAAAATCCTTTTTGTTTGTAGCATAGTGTTATAAAGGTTAAGCGCATAGGCGATGGCATTAGACGTATCATGGCTATTCAGGATGGCTGTTCAGAATCATGGCTCTCATATCTATTCAGGATGACCTTGGGCAAGTGACTTATTCTCTGTAAAATAAGGTTAGTCACAGTGCTCACCTCACACATTACTGGGAGAATGGAAGGAGAGGAGACATTTAACAAGCTCCCTCAGCTCCTAGTACATAGTAAGCACTAGGTGCACACACCTTGCTTATGGTCTGTTCTTACAGGCCTTAAGGATTTCTTTGATTTTGTGCGATTCTTAAACTCTGCTTTTTCTATTTCTCTTTCACGTTTACGTTTAGAGTTAAACCAAAAAACCAAACTCACTGTCGTTGAGTTGGATCCAACTCATAGTGACCCCTCCTTGGGTTTCCGAGGTGGTATCTCTACAGAAGTAGATCGCCCAGCCTTCCCTCTGAGGAAACCCCCCAGCCTTCTGGTTAGCAGCGAAATGCCTTAAGCACTATGCCACCAGAGCTCCCCATTTAGGGTTAGCCTTTAATATAATTTTACCAGTGGTGCCTCTGCCTATATTACTATAAATTTGAGGCTTTGAATTAACACTTTGCATATAGAATGTACCCCAAAAATATTTATTGACATGCATAAAAATGAATTTCCTAATGTATCACTTTTGTAAGTTCAAATTTTGATATATTGAATTTACCAAGTGCCTAGAGCCCAGTGTAGTGCCAGGCCAGTAATACCTGTTCAGTAAACATTGGGTGAGTGACTAATGAATAAAGTAGTTCTTAATTGTATTTTCAAATGCAAATATTCTTTCTAATCTCAGTGAAGTTAGGAGAGAACAGAGTGAATTCCTGGTCTTTTTCTAATGACCCCAGCTCCAACTGTTAGCCAGTATTTTGACTGGCTCTTAGAGACTAAGCACTCAACTAGGGAAACAGAAGTTGAAGGTATGCCCCTTGCCTGGTTTTTAGACATATGTTGTTGTTGTTGTTAAGTGCCGTCGAGTCGTTTCCGACTCATAGCGACCCCATGCACAGCAGAACGAAACACTGCCCGATCCCGCACCAGCCCCACAATCCCTGCTATACTCGAGCCCATCATCGCAGCCACTGTATCAATCCATCTCGTTGAAGGCCTCCCCCTCTTTCGTCGACCCTCCACCCTACCAAGCATGACATCCTTCTCCAGGGAATGGTCCCTTCTTACAACATGACCAAAATAGGTGAGACGAAGTCTGGCCATTCTTGCTTCCAAGGAGCATTCTGGCTGCACTTCCTCCAGGACAGATCTGTTAGTTCTTTTAGCAGTCCATGGTACTTTCAGCATTCTTCGCCAGCACCACAACTCAAAAGCATCAACTCTTCTTCGGTCTTCCCTATTCATTGTCCAGCTCTCACATGCATACAAGGTGATTGGAAATATCATGGCTTGTGTCAGGCGCACCTTAGTCCTCAAGGAGATATCCTTGCTCCTCAGCACTTGAAACAGTTCCTTCGCAGTTGACTTTCCCAATGCTAAACGACGTCTAATGTCCTGACTGCTGCTTCCGTTGGCATCGATTGTAGAACCAAGCAATGTGAATTCCTTGACAACCTCAATCTTCTCTCCATTGATTGTGATGCTGCTCATTGGTCCAGTTGTGAGGATTTTTGTTTTCTTTATGTTGAGATGTAATCCATACTGCAGACTGTATTCTTCAACCTTCATCAGTAGGTGCCTTAAGTCATCCTCACTTTCAGCAAGCAAAGTTGTATCGTCTACATATCTCAGGTTGTTAATGATTCTTCCTCCAATCCTGATACCACGTTTTTCTTCATATAGTCCAGCTTCTCGGATTATTTGCTCAGCATATAGATTGAATAAGTGTGGAGAAAGAATACAACCCTGACGCACTCCCTTCTTGATTTTAAACCATGTAGTGTCCCCTTGTTCTGTTCGAACGACAGCCTCCTGGTCAAGGTACAGATTCCTCATGAGTACAATCAAGTGCTCAGGGATTCCCATTCTTCTCAATGTTATCCATAATTTGTCATGATCCACACAATCAAATGCCTTTGCATAGTCAATAAAACACAAGTAAACATCTTTCTGGTATTCTTTGCCTTGAGCCAAGATCCATCTGACAACAGCTATGATATCCCTTGTTCCACGTCCTCTTCTGAATCCGGCTTGAACCTCTGGAAGTTCTCTGTCAATATACTGCTGCAAACGTTTCTGAATTATCTTCAGTAATATCTTACTTGCATGTGATATTAGTGATATTGTTCTATAATTTCTACATTCTGTGGGATCACCTTTCTTTGGAATGGGCACAAATATGGATCTCTTCCAGTCAGTTGGCCAGGTATAGATGGTATTAAATTGGAGAATTGTATTTAATTAGAGTGCTTACCATATAATATATATATATATATGATTTTATTGCTGAAAGGGGATGTAAGAATATTGCTTGGTGACTTTGCCTCTGCAACAGGCCAGACTAAGATTTCCATTCAGGTAGAACTTTCTCTTATATATATTCTCCATAGTAGGACCCAGGCTGGTAAAAATCAGGGTCTTATTTGAATAAAAACCTCAAATTTTCTGGTTTACCATACGGCAGTGCTGTATATTGTTACAAGTACTCAGTGGGTATTTAATGAATGAGTAAATGGTTTCATATGTAATTATGTTACCAAAGTCACTCTGATCTCACAAAGAATAGAGATAAGGCATGTAATGATTTTTTAATATCAAAAGGATATACTTTCAAGTAACACCTTTGTAAAGTGACAGACATTCTGAGGTCTTCAAGTCATATTATATAAACTGAGTCACAATGTGAAGAGGCCTTGGAATTCCATGAGAACATAAAGCTTTATTTCAGATACAAGCTTTGAACTTTGAAAATAAGAGTAGATCCACTATTTTCCAAAACTGGTTCTTTAACCATTCAGATACTTTATATTTGTTTTCATAGGGTAGTAGATGGTTAAGAGGCAGTTACAGATTAGGGTTTGACAGGAGTGGTTATTTCCTACTAATTACTCATATCCAAATATCTCTGGCTTTGAATTTCTCTAACAAGAAAATACATATGTTATGATGGTCTCTTGGACACAGAAGAACTTCAGACTGAGCTACCGGCTGGTCTTGGAGAGGTAGTAGCATCCATCATGTAGGTAATAAACTACTCTATAACTACCACATCAGAAAGGACCAGTAGTGATAACAAAAGGGGATTATGGGAAGGTAATAATTTGGAGTAAACGATGTTCCCCAATTATTTCTCAGTAATAATTTGTTGGTACTGTGAGTTGGCTTTGGTGAATAGAGGACTTATAAAGAAGGAATTTCATGTCATAATGAGCTGTATGAATGAATTGAAAAGCTGCTTTTGTAGATCATTGGTCATTTAGTGGAGCATTTGTAACTAAAGGGTTATTGATTATTGCCATTGTGAACTTAAAAGATCATCAAATGCAGAATTAAAGCTTCTAAAATGTTTAGTAAATTCAGTGGAAAAACAAAGCAGAGTTTATGAGTTTTTCTGCAGCACCTCAGGTGTACATTTTTTTTGTAAAATGATGACTATTTATGTACACTGATGTAACATATAATTACTACATTTTGGTAGGTTCAAGGAGCCATGGTGGTACAGTGGTTAAAGCTCTCAACTGCTAACCCAAAGGTTGGTTGTTTGAACACACTAGTGTCTGAGGGAAAAAGATGTGGCAGTCTGCTTCAATAAAGATTATAGCCTTGGTAATCCTATGGAGCACTTCTACTATGTCCTGTCGGGTTGCTGTGAGTTGAAATTGACCTAAGAACTATGGGGTTGGGTTTGGTTTTCGTGTGTTCAGAGTGATACGCAATGATAGAAAATGATTATAAGCAACCTTTTTTTTTTTTTTTAAATCATTGGAGAGTTAGGTTTTCCATGTGAAAATCTGAAATTAATCATGGTGAGGTACAGAAGATTGATACTGCTTCACTCTCTACCTCACCCCCAGATGCATCAGGTGATCTCCCACATTTCGCTAGACCTGACCTTGTTAATAAATATGCTGTAGTGGAGCGTCTCAGTTTTGCTTATTATTTGCATCATGGACGGCCATCATGTGCATTTGGTACTTTCCTAGTCCAAGAATTAACCAAGAGCAAAACTCCCAAGCAGCTGTGAGTATTCAAAATGTTATTTTTACTCCAAAAGGGCATACTTTACGCATACTTAAATACAGAAAAGTACAAGAAACGTACACCACGGTTAACAGTGATTATATTTGGATGGTGAATTTTGTTGTTTTGTTTTGCATGTGTGCATGCAGTATGTGTGTGTGTGTGTGTGTGCGCACACGCATGCATGCTTTTCTGAGTATCCCAGGAAAAGTATTCGATTTTGTCAAAGGCCTTTTCTGTAGCAGTTGAGATGAATCATGTGGTTCTTCCCCTTCATTCTATTAATGTGGTATATTGCACTGATTGATTTTCTTATGTTGAACTATCCTTGCATTCCTGTGATAACTCTTACTTAGTCATGGTGGCAGTTTGCTATTTGTTTTCTATGTATAGTTTACTTTTTTGTCCATAATTTCCTCCCATACTGCCTATTTTTAAGTTTACTTGATCTTTTTGTAGTAACCATTTTGATTGCTGATAAGATATTGATTCTTTTTTTCAGGATTCAGCAAGTAGGCAATGAAGCCTATGTTTTAGGGCTCACCTCCTTCTACATACCTTCAATTGGAGCTGCCTGTGTTTGTTTCTTAGAGTTGCTTGGCCTTGACAGCCTCAAGCTCAGAGTTGATATGAAAGTGGCCAATATAATTTTGAGCTACAAATGTGGAAGTGAAGATGCTCAGTACAACTTCATCAGAGAATCTCTAGGTACAGCGCCTTTTCTTTATGTGGTTGGTTTTGTACAGAGGAGGGTGGGGTGAATATAGGTCTAAAGCATTGAATTGTCAGGCCGTTTGGGGAAGAAACCATTACCTTCCTGTTGCTCCATTTCCCACAGAGTGTTCTTTATCTCACTTTATTGGTCTCTTTAACTGGGTTCTGAAATGGCCCTGGCCACATTATTCAAACACAAAAGCACAGTTCCTGACCTCTCTTGACCAGATTTTGTCGTTCATATTTCTTATAGCTGAAAAACTCTCTAAACTGGCTGATGGTGAAAAGGCAGCCACAGAAGAATTGCTTGTTCTTGTGGAGGAAGGTACATGGAGCAATATCCAGCAGCAAGAAATAAAGAGGTTTGTGAGACGAGCTCTCAGCCTCTTCTCCAGCAGCCTTATGTGCCTACCCCATGCTTTCCTGGTCCTTCTCCCAGGTGTTGTCACCAGTCTCTCCCAGACCTTATCTTCCTATTTGTCCAACATATGGGAAATAGTCAGTAAATGGATAATGATTTTAATTGTATCTTGGCATCTGTAAAAAGGTGAGAACAGTGATTTCCTCTTAGAGATGGAGTTGCCAAGAGCTGGAGAAGAGCTTTATCTTCTCCACTGCACTGCTGGGCAAAGAAGTCTTTTAAATGCTATGTGTTGAAATCCTTTCAGAAGACATGGGATTTGTCTCACAAAATTTGACTCTAAGGAATGTCTTTAATTTTTCTTCCTAATCCATGTCAGTTGGAGTGATTGCTGCCCACAGAAGCACCTCTCTCTACACATTCATGCTTTCTCCCACTGGGGCTGCTGTCCCCTGAGGCTGACCCAGGCACTCCAGACTCTGGGAATACACCATTCTGCTGTACCACTATCAGTGACCCTATTCTCTAACATGTACCTCCTATAAGTGAGGAGGCCTGGACACCTATCTGGGCTCTGATTACAGTTCATACCAAAACCAAAAACTAAATCCACTGCCATCAAGTAAATTTTGACTCATAGTGAACCTATAGGACAGTAGAACTGCTCTATAGGGTTTCCAATCTTTACAGAAGCAGACAGCCTCATCTTTCTCCTGCAGAGTGCAGAGTGGCTGGTGGGTTCAAACCACCAACCCTTTGGTTAGCAGCTGACCTCCGTAACCACTGCACAACCAGAGCTCCAGATTATAGTTCATTGTTGTTGTTGTTGTTGTATGCTGTCGAGTCGGACCTGACTCATAGCGACCCTTCCTTGGGTTTCTGAGGCAGTATCACTATGGAAGTATATTGCCCAGCTTTCCTTCCGAGGAGTGACTGGTGGGTTTGAACTGCCAGATTATAGTTCATAGTGCAAGAGAATTAAGTGCTTTGAACAGTTTTTAAGTGATTATTTTCTCAATTCTCTTAAGGATGTACATAGCGACTATCATCCTAGATAGAGAAGTTCATGCATGCCATACATGCCTTACAGTATCAGGAATTCAGTCTCTCCTGGAACAAGCTGAAAAGGGCTGCTGTAGGCTTTACACATTAGTGTGATGGCCTGTCTCCCATACATGCTTAGCTGAAGTCATTCTTGCCAGTATAAAAACAGTGAAAAAAGCAGATGCTGTAAATACCTATTTTTATGTAAAATGAGAACAAATTATAAGAATAGTATTAAAATAGATTTTTATACACATACATATATGAGTAAACATAGACACACATTAAGTATCTAGAAGATGTTTTGTAAAAATATGGATAGTGGTAATTATAGGTAATTTTCCCATTCTTTTGTGTATTTTCTGAATTTACAGGTATATGTTACTTCAATAGTTTAAAAAAAAAAAAAAAAAAAAAAACTCCTTTTCAGTTTAGGAAAAAAATGCCCACCTGGCATCATCCAGTCACGTATCTTAGAATTGCCGTCTCTGTGGGACAGGAAGCACCAGCACCGGTATTGTAATCCATGCTCTCTTCCTTACTACTCCTTGGTAACACGTGTTTAGGACTGTTCCCCTCTTATCTTAGGGCAAGGAGTCCAGTTCTGACATTGCATTTCTCACCTGCAGTACTTTACTTTCAAGTACTGTCTTTAGGTATAGTTTTGTGAATAGATACTTGGTTGATGGTTTGGTACAAGAATTTATTGTGCCAGTATACTAAGAAAGCTGTTGTGCATTATGGATGAAAGAGTCTAGTTTTTTAAAAAGTAGTCTAATACTTGGTATTTGTTGAAAGGCTTTTCAGAGGCCATAGTGTGGTTAAATTAATTTCTACTAATTTTCTACTTTCAATTAAGTTTTTCTGTCACCCTACCCTCAATTCTAATGACAGAGTATCCAGTGATGCTGGCAGCCAGTGGGCATTAGTGGTACAGTTCTGCAGGCTCCACAGTGTGAAACTGAGCACATCTTACCTCACAGAATGTGCCAAAGCAAATGACTGGCTGCAGTTCATTATTCACAGCCAGCTCCATGACTACCATCCAGAGGAGGTAAGCCACCGATGTTAGCAATTTCTCCAAGAAGAGGAAATTGGAACATTTCTCAGAAGTTTAAAATGTTCTTTCTGTTGCATAGACATACACTTTTGTTTGACATGATGCTATTATTTTTACTAAGATTTCAGTGGGTTGGCTTCAGACAAGGGACCTAGTTATTAGTACTAAGGAACTAAAGAGTTTTTATGGCTCTAGATTCAATATAGAAGTTCACTGAAAAGCAGCAAACAACTTTGTAAAATTAGACGGTCATCTCTGACACAGTTTAGGGTGAGAAAGAAGAACTTTGCCTACTCGTTTCTCTGTTTTTAGCTCCAATGGGAATAGAAAGTAAGCTATCTGTTTTAATAATCTAATCTGTTTTCTAGGTGAAATCCCTGCTGCAGTGTTTCAGCCCAGTTCTCAGAGACCACTTACAGCTGGCTTTTGAGAACTTGCCCTCAGTGTCCACCTCCAGAATGAATAGTGATCAGGTCTGTACCACATCCCGCCAGCAGCACCAGAAAAACAAAGAACAGAAGACTGATTTCTTTGAAATTTTGCTCCAGTGCTCAGAGGAGCCAAACTCCTGGTGCTGGCTACTGGCTGAAGCAGTGAAACAACAGGCCCCTATCCTGAGTGTCCTGGCCTCATGTCTCCAGGTGAGAATCATGAGAAGCCAGGGAGCAATGGAAAAAGTGGTGAGGGATAGGGAAGGCTGATAACCAGAGAGGAAGCAGGGTAATATGGATGAGGCTTCACTGCGTGTTTCCAAGGTCACTTCACCTCTTTATGCTTCTCCACCTTATGCTCTGGCCCAGTCAGAGCACTTCCTCATGCCTTTACATTCAGTGAGCTCAAGTGGTCAATGCCTTGCTTCTTGGTTGGCAAGCATAGAAAAGAATGCTTTGGTGGACTGACCACCACTGCTTCTTTAGCATCTTCTTAATCAGGAGAGAGGGAGGGTCCAGATAGTCCTTAACAGCACACTGGTGGAGGGCAATCCAGTTCTCTTATACTTAGTACTTCCTGCTTCTGCATACACCCCTTCCATCTTCCCTTTGGCTGGCTGACCCACACTCTGCAGGACATTTTACAATAGTCAGTTTGCTACACATTAGAGTTATTTCATGTTTGAAGGCTTTCCGAATCCATTTTTATTTAATGACATGACTTGTTCTAACAGGAAACGCTTATCTGTAGTCATTGCATTGCTGAAGGTATCTTCTGTTAGGTAATCCAGTCCAGTTGTTACTTTAAAAAAATTTCTTATCCAATGACAGGATGCCAATGCTATTCCTTGTCTTTGTGTTTGGATTGTCACATCTGTGGAGGACAGTGTTGCTGCTGAAGCAGTGGGACACATTGAGGGTTTGATAGAAGGCCATACTTGGGACCTGGAGGACCTCTCGGCCATCTGGAGAACGTTATTAACCAGGCAGAAAAGCAAAACTCTCATCAGAGGTTTCCAACTTTTCTCTAAGGTAGTAGAAGTCACTTCATTGCTTCCTAGAGTTTAAAAGGGTTGCTTCTGTATAATCCAGTTGGCTTCTCGTGTTCTCGTGCCTGGGATTTTTAGCCCTGGATATTTTTAGCCAACAGCACATGATGATAATGATCATAGAGCTACTATTTATTTAGCAAAGTGCTTTATGTACATTATTTCAATTATCACAATGATCCTATACAAAGAAATTCTATATGAAGATATCAGAAAGTAACGTTATCTCTGCAATTTAGATAAGGAAACCACGACTCACAGAATTTTAGTAGTAAGATGCCTAAGGTTTCAAAATATTTTAGTAAATCGTGTACTACATAATACTTCAAATCCATACTAATTCCAAAATTTCCTGTTCTTAATCATTGCACTATATTGCTACTGCTGACTAAACAGCTCCTGCAGGAGTGATGGAAATGTATGGATTGATGCCGCACAGCAGTCTGTGGTTAGGTCAGTGGAACTGAGCATCCATCCGGGAGAGCACGTTAGCTATCACAGTCCCATAGCACCCCCTAGTGGAACGTGTCCTGCACCTGTGTGGTAGACCAAGTATAGGCTAGACAGAACATGGATTGGTGAGCAGATGTACTCAGGCTGAGTATCTCTTTTCCCAAAAGGAAATACACATTTAACTTCTTTTCAACTTACAGGATTTTGTACTAATCTGAAGATGTTATTAATAGCATTTGTTGTTTACTTTAACCTTCTGTTATGTTGGCATTATTCATTGAAAAAATATTGGTTAAGTTCAGGACTTTGTCATTTCATTCAAACCCTTCCTCAAAGGATTCACCGTTATTGTTGATGATGGAGATGTATGAACTGTGTATGTTCTTCAAGAACTATAAGGAAGCCAAAGCCAAACTTCTGGAGTTCCAGAAGAGCCTTGAAACTGTAAGTTGGAATTATATGCTCTTTCTCTCTGATCTGAAATTGGTTGGACAGCCTATTCTCTGCTAGTAGTCAGGAGGTGGCAGCAAGAGAGAGGTGGTTATGTGGCATAATGCAAAATAAGTCTCATTTTACTCTTCTGGAGATGGGAAGGCCAGGGTGACAGTGGCAGTGGCCTCACCCACAGCAGCTTATTTGCAGGAGTGATAGAGAAATTTCATCTGTTGTGCCAGCTATGATCAGTATCCTGAAGCCACAGCCAAGGTCAACAGGAAGGGGATTCATGCTAGAGAGGAGAGTGGTGGGACTTGGGCTGCATTCACCACCCAGAATAGCACCAGCAGCTTTGCAGGTGAGGGATGTTTAATGCTGCTTTATTCACTGTGATAGAAAATAATGCCTCTTTTCATCAGTACTCCTGGTGGTCCTTGTCCCAGTGATGCTGAGCCTTGTGGTCAGTTTCAGGCTATGCCTCTTTGGATGCTTGTTTGGGGCCTATTGATCATATGAAGGTATTAACCCTGTGAAAAGAGAGGGCATTCTAAGGTAGGAAAGGGAATATGCCTTAGTCTTGCTTGGAGTTTTCAGCACTTTTGCCTTCTCTGTCCAAAAAAAGATCTGTGATAAACAAGACAGAAATACATACCAACAAATAAATCACAGCAGAGCCTCAGTACAGGCGTTTCCTCTCAATCACATTAGTCTTCACTGTAACGCAGATATAAAAGTGGTATTATTTGAAAATGCTGAATCACTTATTCAGATGGGCCTGAGCCTCCTATGTCACAGAAAACAGAGACTCTGATTTTGTTTGCCTGTTACTGTCTTTATGGCTGCGGCCATCCCACATACCTAGTCTTTCTCGCCTGACTACCCTTGCTCTGGCCGCTTGTGCAGGAACAGTGCAGCTGCTTCCATCCTTGCCCTCAAGGCTTTTTTTTCCATATGTCTTTTTCCTTTTCTGTTGGCCTGCTGTTGTCCCGCATAGAGCTACAGGATTAGATAAATAAGTAGGGAAATAAAGGCTTTGAACAGATCTAGGCTAAATTTACGAGGATAAATAATAAAAAATAGAAGCATTAACTTTGGCTCTTCTGAAAATTGAAGTCTGGTCAGGGTGGTGATAGGAAACATTCAGTAATGATGGCAAGGCAGGAATAAGTAGTGAATAATGAGCTGACTTCCGGTGTTCTTATCTTTTGTATGTTGTTGTTAGGTGCCGTTGAGTCAGCTCCAACTCATAGCCACCTTGTGTACAACAGAATGAAACACTGCATAGTAACCCCTTAAATACTCTGCAGTGAGACAGGGCCAAAAGCAAAATGATCTTCCTTTAAGATAGCAGGTAAGGAGAACCCCCAATCACTAGAAAAGGACATCATGTTTGCTAAAGTAGCAAAAATGAGAGAGACCCTCCATGAGATGGAGGAACACAGTAGCCTCAGCATTGGCTCAGACATTTTGAAGATCATGGAGTGATGCAGGACCAGGTAGCGTTTCATTCTGTCAAACATAATGTTGCCATGAGTTGGCGCCAACCCAATGGCGACTAACAGCAACAAGGAGAACCCTGTTGCAACGTGAGATGAGGATGAGAAAGGGATGAAAGGGCCACATAGGACATAGGAAAGAGAATTCAGAAGGAAATCAGAGGTGGGGCTAGGGAGATAGCAGTAATGTGACAGAGGATTTTAGAAGCCATTGCTTAATTTAAGATCTTTGCAGTCTTGGGGTATCCATTTAAAAGGAACATTGATTTCCAAAATATACATCACAGCCAGAAAGCCTACTTGCACATTAGATTTATCTTGAGAGTGACTTTTGTAGTGTGATCAGGTGTATTTAGTCCTGGTGAGTCAACAGTAGAGCCCACTCCCATGCTGGGCACAGAGCAAATGAATGAGAAATTTTTGGTGCCTATCAACACATAGTACATATTTTTTAAACCGGAGAAGTAAATTTCTTTTCTACTAAAAGGCCTAATATTTTCTTGTGATTATGCTGTATCAAGTCTCAACTGAACAGAATTACAGTGACTAAAAGCCAAAAATTAACCTTCCAAAAATAATATGAAGCAAGAAACCAAACTAGGGGTAAAGTCACAAAAGAAGCACCATGAGGGAAAACACCACTCCTCACAGACACTAAAATCTTACTTTTTTCTTCAAGGTCTTAGATGCTTTCGCCATACCTATTCTTAGAAATGTGGCCTGCTATTTGGGGTCATGGATGCTTTCCTATTAATATTTTCAGGATTTGATTGAAATGACCTAAATCAAAGCTTCTTAACTGAGATCCTTCTCTAATGAGAGCATAAACTACAAGCAAACCGGTAGAACCAGCTCTGTAATGTTAAGCAAGTCCTCAAAGAGGTTTTTATATATGAATTCAGAATCTTCTAGACTCAAGGGCCAGGCCTAGATCCTTCTCTAAAGGAGAAGTTAAGTGACGCTCACTGGTTAATTTCACAGTGATTCTCACAGGACTCTTAATTTGCAGTCCCTAACTGGAGGCAGTCAGCCGCAGGGATCCAGGTGAGGAGAGGGAACTCAGCCATGCCCAAAGCAGCAGGGTGGGAGAGCGGGAGAAAGGGGATTAAAAGCCAGGAACCTAGACAGAGGAGCAGTCAGCAGCAGGGATCCAGGTGAGCAGAGGGAACTCAGCCATGCCCAAAGCAGAAAGGCAGGAGAGCAGGAGAAAGGGGATTAAAAGCCAGGAACCTAGACAGAGGAGCAGTCAGCCGCAGGGATCCAGGTGAGGAGAGGGAACTCAGACACACCCAAAGCAGCAGGGCAGGAGAGTGGGATAAAGGGGATTAAAAGCCAGGAACCCGCACAGAGGAGCAGTCAGCCTCAGGGATCCAGGTGAAGAGAGGGAACTCAGGCACGCGCAAAGTAGCAGGGCGGGAGAGCAGGAGAAAGGGGATTAAAAGGCCCAGGAATCTGGACAGAGGAGGAGTCAGCCACGGGGACCCAGGTAAGGGTGGTACAAGAGGTTTCCAACAGGAGACAAACTTGTCTGTCGGTTTGTCCTACTGTGGTGATGTGTTGATGTGAGTTTTGAGGCTGAGCCACTGGTGTTTCAAACCCAGTGGGATGCACATGGTGCACAGGTATCAGCCCAGCTTACAGACTGAGACAGTCTAGGAAGAAGGAAGAAGCTGTCTACTTCTCAAAGAATTGGCCAGGGAAAACCTTACGGATAGCAAAGAAACACTGTTTGATACATTACTGCGCAACTTTATGAATAGTCTGGTTAGGTTAGAAGGCTCTCAAAATAGGACTGGGAAAGAGCTGCATCATCTGAGTAAACCCAGCCTTAGTCCTATGGATAAGGTAAAGCTTTCGAAACCTCCATTTGCTGATGTGGCACCACTCAAATTGAGGACAAACAGCTGCAGGCATCCATTAATCATCGGAACATGGAATGTATGAAGTATGAATCTAGGAATATTGGAAGTTGTCAAAAATGAAATGGAACGCATAAAGATTGATATCCTTGGCATTAGTGAGCTGAAATGGACTGGTTTTGGCCATTTTGAAGCAGACAATCATGTGATCTACTATGCCGGGAATGACAGTTTGAAGAGGAATGGCGTGGCATTCATCATCACAAAGGATGTTTCAAGATCTGTCCTGAAGTACAGTGCTGTCAGTGACAGGATAATATCCATATCCATACGCCTACAAGGAAGACCTGTTAATAGGACTGTTATTCAAATTTATGCCCCAACCACCAAAGCCAGAGATGAGGAAATTGAAGATTTTTATCAACGTCTGCAGTCTGAAATTGACCAAACATGCAATCAGGATGTGTTAAAAATCGCCTCATATGCATGTGAGAGCTGGACAATGAATAAGGAAGACCAAAGAAGAGTTGATGCTTTTGAGTTGTGGTGTTGGCGAAGAATACTGAAAGTACTATGGACTGCTAAAAGAACTAACAGATCTGTCCTGGAGGAAGTGCACCCAAAATGCTCCTTGGAAGCAAGAATGGCCAGACTTCATCTCACCTATTTTGATCATGTTTTCAGAAGGGACCATTCCCTGGAGAATGACGTCATGCTTGGTAAGGTGGAGGGTCGACAAAAGAGGGAGAGGCCTTCAATGAGATGGATTGACACGGTGGCTGCGATGATGGGCTCTGGTATAGCAGGGATCACGGAGCTGGTGTGGGATTGGGCAGTGTTTCATTCTGCTGTGCATGGAGTTGCTATGAGTCAGAGACGACTCAACGGTGCCTAACATCAACAACAAACTGGAGGTATTTATACCAGTTCATGCCATAGCATCTGTCTTATTTAAGACTCCCTCCTAGCTTTGGCTTCCACACATACAGCTGTCTGTGCCAGGACTTCCCACAAAGAGACGAAGTACAGAGCTGCTGAGAGGTGCTGGTTTTTGCCACTCCTGTAAGCATCACTACCAATTCCTGCCATTTGGAAAGGAGAGAAATAAGGACCTAGATAAGCATCCCCCTTTGTGATGGAAGATGGCTTTTTGATTGTCTCTTGGTTTTCTTAAATGTTCCCATATTTGGAGCTTTTGATTTGCCTGTCCTGTGAAATCACCCTCCCCGCCCCTCTCTTCTTTTTCCATAGCTTGAAGCGGCAGCCACAAAGGTCCGTCCTCTCACCCCTGCCTCATGGTTGAAGGAGCAGGTGTGTTTTCTTTTGAAGCTTATGCTGCAGCAGTGTAGGACCCAGTATGAACTGGAGAAACTTCTACAGCTGTTTATTGAAATAGAGCATCTCTTCTCTGATGGTAAGGCCAACCTTACAGTTAAGTAGCTGTTAGGATGTTAATCATGAAAATACTTTGCAAGGCCAGTCAAGAAATTGAAATGGACATGATATGTATTACATTATATTTACAATCCATAACTGAGTGTGAAGAAGAGCTACAGGTTATTTCAAAATCCTGATTAAAGCATTTAAAACATAGTACAATCAGGTATAACTGAAATAATCTAACACCTATCTTCTCATTCTAAGCAGCTGTCAAGTAGCCACATTTTTCCAGACTAGCTTCTGTCTTACTCTTATCACTGTCATTATTTCTCTAGCACATAACCTCAACATGTCCCCATTGCTCAAGGTTATAAACCTTGCTTCAAGAACACATCATTCATTTTAAAAGCTTCAGAGGCAAACTGTGCTTGTTCTTTGCAGATTCCTCCAGACATTGTCAGCCTCTAAGCTTGTCGCTGATTAAGTCAACCCTGTTGCCTTACCCCATTTTCCACTTGTTTTGACAATTTCAAGTTTTTATTGAATGATACATTAATCTTTAACATTTGATTCTGACATTTTCACTACTAGGGTTATTACACCACATTTAGACTCACATGTTCAGCTAGTGAGCTCCGATTTGCACGGAATACTAACAGAATGCAGGGCCCAGTACCAGGGCTTTAGACTGTGGGTCTGATGACTGAAAGAAAAAGGGGTATTTCCAAAATACACTAAATTCAGCATGGTATACTTGTCAGTTACTGTGTCGTGTCAAAGGATAGAGCCTTACAACATGAAGGTATTTTCACTGATCTGTAGTAATTTTAATTATTTCAGAAATGAATTTTTTTTTTTTGCCAGAGTTAACTTTCTGAATAATTATGAGGATTGATTATATTATTAACCATTACTATAATGTTTTTATTCATGTAATTATTTACATTTTTATGGAATATTTTGAGTTAAATGTATGTATATGCAATGTATGTGCTTAGATATATATGTTTATTATTATTATTATTTTAAATTGTGATTTGGGTAAAAGTTTACAGAGCATATTCATTTTCCATACAGCAGTTCATACAGATTTTGTTTCATGACATTGACTGCAATTCCTCACAGTATAACAGCTCCCTTCCCACTTTGCCCCTGTAGTTACTTCTTCCCTGTGTCCTTCTTTCCTGTGCATTCCTGCCCACTGAGCTACTCCCCTGTGCAAATACTGCCCTTCTGTTCTCCCACAATTGACCACTCTAAGGCATGTATCTACCTAATGTAAATGTTCACTCTGTATGCCTGTCTGTTGTTTGGGTGGAAGCCATGGGAGTGAGTTCAGTTCCAGACTTAAAGGGTAACTAGGGGCCTTAGTCTCGGGGGTCTCACCAGGCTCTATCAGACCAATAAAGCTGGTCTTTTTTTTTTTTTTTTATGATGTTGATTTTTGTTCTACATGGTTCTCCCACTCTATCCAGGATCTCCTGTACTGATCCCTTTCCAAGTGGTTGACAATGGCAGCTGGGCACCATCTGGTTCTGGGCTTGTGGTCATATAGGCGGAGGATAGCACGGTCTACTAGTCTCTTGGACTAATTGTTTCCATGCACCTTTGGTTTTCTTCATTCTTCTTTGCTCTGGATGAGAGACCCATTGTTGTATCTAGATGGCCTTATGCAAGCTTTTAAGACCCTCGTCGCTACTCACCAAAGCAGGATGTAGAACAGTCTTTTTCTGTAGTATGTTATGCCAGTTGAGCTCAATGTCCCCTGTGACCATGCTCCTGAGCCCACAGGTCCAATGGCTCACTCCCTAAGGGTGTTTGCTGTGGCCAAGAAATTATCCATAACTTTGCCACCTTGTTAGCTCTATTATATATTTGGACATTTTTATAGCACCTACACATATGTATGTAGAAATAATTATATAATACATATTTTTTAAAAACCTGTATTTTATATGATGCCAGCAAAGAAACCCAGCATCCCATACTGGTGTGCAGGGCATCTCACTGTCCCTGGAAACTACCTAAAGCAGACCACAGCCTAGCAGGTGGCACTGGGAAATAGGCTCCTGTGGAATATTTTTCATACCTCTCCTTTACCGTATTATAGACTATTTGGAAGTAGCTGCAAACCCAGCTACACAAGTTATTGGTAGAGAATTCTTAGTGCTTCTGAAGATAAGAATTTTCAGAACTTCGGGAAGAGCTCAGCTGGGTCTCCTTGGGTTAAGTAGATAGTTGTCAGGAGGCTCAAGAGATGCTCTGTTCTTACTATGGCTACATGAGAACCTGGGTGATTCGCCAGCTGCAGTTTCAGCTCTCCCGCAAGTTTTGTGTCTTGATCCGCATGATGCCCGCATTGAAAGAATGAATGAACAAACTATTTTAGTCAAGGTAGGAGAAAATCCAGAAAGAGATGGGACTAGCCTGAGTGTGTGGACTAAATCTTCCCTTGGTTGACTTATCTGCTGTTGTTTACCATATATTGGTAGATCAGTAGGCCACCAGCCTCTGCCCTGATGTAAAGCCAGCTATATAGATTGAGTTCATGTGCTAATCCCTTCACAGTTCTTACTGTAGGGCAAGCAAGTTCAGCCATATAGATTTCAGCCATACAGATCTTACTAGTAAGAATTTTACAGGGCTGTTTTTGGCAGTTTTGCTATATAAGCACTGCCTTGTGGCTTCCTCTGCTAGTCAACCAGAACAGAAAAACAGGGCTTTTTTTCCTTTAACCATACTGCTGCATTCCCATAAAAAACCAAACTCAACTGCTATTGAGTCATTTTCAACTTCTCCTTGGGTTTCCAAGGCAGTATCTCTACGGAAGTAGACTGCCCAATCTTCCTACTGAGGAGTGGCTGGTGGATTTGAACTTCCAGCCTTCTGGTTAGCAGTAAGATGCCTTAGGCAGTATGCCACCAGAGCTCCTATTACTGCATTAAGCATACATATTTCCTTCCTGATATTTAGCTGCTCTTGAAATGCCATAGCAATATTTTGTAGGTTAAATGTTTCTATCTTCTTCTCTTGGTGCAGGTCCAGATGTGAAAAAGCTGTATGCCCTCAGCCAAATTTTGAAGGATACATCCATAGCCATTGATCATGTAATTATTACAAGCTATAGCATGGAGAATTTTCAGCATGAATGTAGATCCATTTTGGAAAGACTGCAGACAGATGGACAGTTTGCTGTGGCCAGGAGGGTAGCAGAATTAGCTGAGTTACCTGTGGACAACTTGATTATTGAAGAGGTATGTGTAGTCTTTTAAGTTATTTAAAATCTTAGCTTTTAAGCCAGTGTTAAACAGAGAATCAAATGAGGACAATCTACAGGAGATGAAGCTCTTTTGCTTTTGACACACGCATTACTTTCAATAATAGATGGGTCTGAGATACTGAAGATTGCATGCTTTAAATGTAAGGTTAATCAATAGGATATGTTAGAGTTATGTTTCTGTAAATAGAATGAAATATATGGTGTAGCCAAGTCCAATGTTTGCTAATTTGATTTGAATGGGTAAGGTAACATTAGCATGTATAATACTTTTTTCCTCCAGGAAAAACTAAATTCGCTTTGTTTAAACTTTACAGATAACTCAGGAAATGCAGACCCTAAAACACACTGAACAGTGGTTCCTAAAACAAGCAAGAATTGACTTCTGGAAAAAATGCCATGAGAATTTTAAGAAAAATTCCATTTCTAGCAAAGCAGCTTCCTCCTTTTTCTCATCCCAGGCCCTTGTGGCGTGTGTGTCTCCAACTGAGGAGCAGCAGAGCAGCATTGAGGAACGTCCTCTGCTGCTTACCCTGGCAGGGCACTGGCTTGCCCAGGAGGACCCGGTGCCCGTGGACGAGCTGGAGGAGCTAGAGAAGCAGATCTGGCTCTGTCGCATCAGCCAGCACACCCTTGGAGGAAGCCAGGAGGAAGTAGACACCACATTCTCTAGACAAATACCAGCTAATGGTGAATTTTCCTTTGGTAGCTTAGCCAGTGAGTTTTCCTTCTCCAAGTTGGCTGCTCTGAACACGTCAAAATACTTAGAACTTAATGGTCTTCCATCCAAAGATTCATGTGAGAATAGACTGAATTGGAAGGAGGAAGAGGCACTAAACCTTTTGATTGGGCGTCTGTTAGAGGATGGTTGTGTACATGAAGCAAGTAGAGTGTGCCGGTATTTTTGTTTCTACAACCGAGATGTTGTCCTGGTGTTGCACTGCAGAGCACTGGCCTCAGGGGAGGCTGGGGTGGATGACCTGCACCCAGAGATCCGTGCTCTCCTACAAAGTGCCGAGCTGCTGGAGGAGGAAGAGTCTGGCATTCCTCTGAGAAAAGTCCAAAGCAGTAAGTGAAGGAGATCTAACTGCCCCAAGTCCTAAATGGTGCTGTTGGCACTCTATTCAAGAAGGAAGAGTTATAGTAAATTAAGGGCACAGTAACACTTTTATAGGTAATCTGTAAACCAGATAATTAACTAGTTGATTAAGTAGAAGCACCTGTGTCTTTTAATTAGCTTTGTATTAATGTTAAAGGGAATCCATATGATTTGTAGCTAGGTCACTGAAATTTATTCTGTACAAATATAATTCCAAGTGCACATTGCTAGTATATAGAAATGTGATGGATTTTTGTGCAAACTGCTAAACTCACATTTCCTAGGAGTGTTTTCTTATAGATTCCTTGGGACTTTCTGTGTAGATTATCATGTTATCTGTGAGTATCGTTGTTAGATGCCGTCGAGTTGTCTCTGACACATAGCAACCCTATGCACAGCAGAATGAAATACCACCTGGTCCCGTGCCAGCTCCATGATCCTTGAGCCCATCATTGCAGCCACCATGTCAGACCATCTCGTTGAGGGCCTTCCCCTCTTTCAACAACCCTCCACCTTACTAAGCATGAGATCCTTCTCCAGGGAATGGTCCCTTCCAACAACATGACCAAAGTAGGTGAGACCAAGTCTGGCCATTCTCGCTTCCGAGGAGCATTCCAGGTGCCCTTCCTCCGGGACAGATTTCTTAGTTCTTTTAGCAGTCAGTGGTACTCTTGGCATTCTTCACCAGCCCCACAACTAAAAGCATCAATTCTTCTTTGGTCTTCCTTATTCATTGTCCAGCTCTCACATGCATATGAGGCATTTGAAAATACCATGGCTTGTGTCAGGTGCACCTTAGTCCTCAAAGAGACATCTTGGCTCCTCAGCACTTGAAAGAGGTCCTTTGCAGCCGACTTGCCCAGTGCTATACATCATCTAATGTCCTGACTGCTGCTTCCATTGGCAGCAATTATAGAACCAAGCAATGTGAAGTCTTTGACAACTTCGATCTTTTCTCCATTTATTGTGATGCTGCTTATAGTTCCAGTTGGGAGGAGTTTTGTTTTCTTTATATTGAGATGTAATCCATACTGCAGACTGTATTCTTCAATCTTCATCAGTAAGTGCTTCAAGTCATCCTCACTTTCAGCAAGAAAAGTTGTGTCATCAGCATATCACAGGTTGTTCATGAGTCTTCCTCCAATCTTGATGCCACGTTCTTCTTCATATTGTCCAGTTTCTTGCATTATTTGCTCAGCCTATAGATTGAATAAGTGTGGAGAAAGAATATAACCCTGACACACTCCCTTCTTGATTTTAAACCATGCAGTGTCCCCTTGTTCTGTTTGAATGATGGCCTCCTAGTCTGTGTACAGGCTCCTCATGAGTACAATTAGGTGTTCTGGAATTCCCATTCTTCTCAGTTATCCACAGTTTGTTATGATCCACACAATCAAATGCTTGTGCATAGTCAATAAAACACAGGTAAACATCTTTCTGGTATTCTTTACTTTGAGCCAAGATTCATCTGACATCAGCAATGATATCCCTTGTTCCACGTCCTCTTCTGAATCCAGCTTGCACCTCTGGAAGTTCTCTGTCATTATACTGCTGCAACTGTTTTTGAATTATCTT